GTTGCTGAACTTTTCTTGTAGGTAGGTATGAAAGTGAGCTTACACCAAACATTTATCCATTTTTCTCTGTTCTAGATTTTATTCCATAGTTTGAACATTATTTCAATCCCCTTGTTTCTTATTTCTTTGAGTCCTTTCGCCGTTATTAAGGTTTCCTCATGAGATTTACTAGTTTTTAATTTCTTTATTCCGATTTCTTAATATTGTTCTATTTTCTATTTTCTTGTGGCATCTTATTTCAATTTATTATTTTTGTTTCAATTTCCCATTTTAAAATATGTGGTTCTTTCTTTTCATTTATTTCTTCTCTATCTATTTCTTCATGGTTACTGAACAGCAATTTTTTACAATATTGTTTCCCTGTCGCTGTTATGCCCTCTGGATTGGTGATATTTGTTTCCAAGTTATCTTTAGTGATCTACTTTTGTGGTTTGAACTCTTTGGTTAAGTGTTATATTTTGTCAAAGAGTTCTCTAGACTAGACTCAACGTTCGGCGTGTTCTTCTAGTTGTTTTCATATTTCTTTTATGCGATTATTGTCTTAGTCAGTGGACAACAAAACGGATCTTGTGCGGTAAGACTCGATTCTGTGGTGATCATAGATTCCAAAATCATTAATTTTTTTTAAGTATATATTTATTCATTAAATGAAAATACACTCTTCTTAAATTATATCTAATTTTTATTCGTTATTTAATGATTATTTGATGAAGTTAAAAATAATGATAACAGATTGTTGTGTCTTGTTCTCCCATTAAATTAGTTTTAATTAATTTCTTATATTCCAACAACCATAGAATTTATAAAAAGATGTTCATTTATAAAAATAACTAAATTAAAAAACTATATTATTTTTAAATTATGTTTACAGCATACATTATGAACACACTTTGGCAAGCTGTTAGTGTAATAAGAGATGCTGTTTTTAATATTAATTTTTTTTTCATACTCAAGTTGTAAATAAACACTTTATAAAACCTTTGATGATCCGCAACCACTCGAAACATATTAACAATAATATTAAAAAAACATACCACAAACATAATTCATCTCAGATTCTCAGATTTTCTGATTTCTCGCATTTTAAGTTTTAGCAGTTATATGATTTCATTGTAAAGCAAATAGTAAACGTTTCTCGAAAAAAAAAATATATCTACAGGAAACAGGAAAACCTTTCTATTACTAATGAATGAATTACTCGTGTTTTGCTAGAGGCACTGGTTTGTGTACCTACCAGTAGGTATATTCTTTCATGGTCTTTCGGTTTCATTTAATAATTGGTAATTTTGTACACGGCATCTCTTTATATATTGAAGTTAAGAAATATAAGAGATTAAAGAACATTGCACTCAGATCAAATTATTCTAGGCTTAAACACGTTAAAAATGAAATTTTGTATAAGGAAAAGATATGGCAACGATGTACCTAGTATGTATATATACAACTTTTTATAACAACTTATTTTACTGTCATAACTGTTATAATTTATCCAAAACCTAACAAATCTGTGACAAATATTTACGAGCAATCATATGCATAAACATACATGTGATATTTTTACACAATGTAATTGTATTACATTTCTTACTTTCCTTACAAAATTTATGAATAATTTAAAGTTATATTTAAAACAATAATTAGACTGATAAGTTTGATAATTAACAGAATGCAGTAATAGTATTTCTCATTTTTACGCAGTTGGTACGCATGATAACAATATTCCGAATTATAAATGCAATATAACATTAAACTGTTACCTATATTCAATAGCGCTACAGACCAAATCAAGCCTTGGCCTCCTCCAAACTATACCTTCAACCTTGTCAGTCCCGCGCCGATTTTCTCCAGGTTCCCACGTATAGCAATTTTTTTCCGTAGTGCACAAGACCTTTTGGTCTTGTGCACTGCATTTTACTATCTAGGTTCTTTTTGGCAATCTTTCGGTCTTCATTCTCACTACAATAAGGAAGGAAGGCAGGAAAATAAAAGGAGAAGAGTACCCGAAAATCGGGTAACAAAAGAGAACAAAGTTGTCATTCGCCAGCATATAGAGAGCTTTCCATACGTGGAAGCACACTATTGTAGGAAGCACTCTAAGAAAAACTATCTTGAGACACATCTTAATATTCAGAAAATGTATGACCTCTATGTAAAATTGTACAATGAAAAGTAGATCTTCAAAAATTATGTTTGTACAGACACATTTTTAATTTTGAGTAAAATTTCTTTGTCAAAAGCTGATAGATATGATATCTACATTTGAAAATACAGACTGGATGGTCAAAAAATAAAATAGATTGGATGCAAACATGAAAACGGCATATGATTCTCACATTTCTAAAAAAAACCCATGCGACAAGAACGAGAAAATGATAATAAGATGGAAAATCCAAATTGTGCTGTAATTCGCTTTGATTTGGAAAATATTATCAATCTTCCCAAATACGATGTTTCAGTGCTCTTTTATAAACACAAGTTAAATGTTTATAACTTGAGAGTACACAGTGCTATAGGAAAAGAAATTTAATGTAGGATATGTCCTGAAACAATGTGCAGCCAGTGCTCTAATACAAATTCTACAAAGAATTGTCTAACCATACGAAAATCATGAAAAACTCGCATATTTCACTCACAATCGTTGACTTTACAGACATCCAAGAATCCAGATGATATCAATGAAATATTCTCTACCAGGCCATTCTTGCAGGTCATAAGTTAGGAATGTTAAAAATGTTAAGAATTACAGACATAAATATACTGTCCCTTTCTTTTGCCAGACTCTTGCTTAAAGTTGATAGGAAAAGACCATTTTCTGTCATTAATAAGCAGGAATCACGATTTAAGAACTACAAAAAGAGTGCTACAAATTTTCAATACGACAAAATACTCCACACAAAAGTCTGTCAGTTACGTTTTTTGCGAGGGAAACAATATAAAGTAGACGATCACAGCAAAGAATTTTTTAGAGTTAAAATCCAAACTCCCGGGGAAAAAGAAGTCTAAAGGATGGTGCTAGTTTTAATATTACAGATTTTGTAATAATATGTCCTACCAATAATTCCAAAGCGAAGTCCGTAACTAAGAAAAAAAACTGAGCATATAGAATTTGCATATAAATGGATGTCGTTGGAAGACCAGCTTTACATGAAAAGTTTGCTTTCTGAATTTCAAAAAAAGTAAAAATAGTTTAATACGAAATCCTTCAAGGAAATACATTCGTTTTTATTTTTTTTATATGATAAAATATTGATTTTATTTACTTATTTTTTTAAAAAGAAATATCTATTTTACTAATTAATTTTAGCTTTTGTATGCCTTACACAGCAAGTAAAAAATAATTTAAAAACGTAACAGAACCATAAGGTTTCAAATACACCTCTTACAGTGCCACAAAATTCCAAGTACAACTGCAGCTTTTTTTTCAAAACAGCAAGATTAACGTGTTAACATGTATACCTAAATGTTCTCAAATTCATTTGGATCCGATTTTCTAAAAATATTAGAATTGTCGCTTTGAACCCTATGGTTGTCAGCCCTCGATATAGAAGTTCCCACTTCAGTAAATTAAAACTAAATTATGTGTATGAATTTAAGTTCGCCACGTCGTAATTTAATGTTGCCAATGCTTCCTCAAAAAACTAAACCTTGTTAAATCTTAAAAAAGGGTTAGAACATATTTTAATCAAAAATTACCTGCAGCGAATTTTAAACTAAATTTAAGCTTCTATTTCTTAATGTTTGTCTGTCACTGTTTCTTAATATTAATTCATAAAAGGGTATATTTGAAAAAAAAATTATATAAAGAATTAATTATGAAAGGTATGTTTATCGGGAAATCATGAGACTTTATATAAAAGTGGGAGATAAGAACATATGTGTGTCGCCAAGTAAGTCTTGCTAATAACCTAATTAAAAACTTTCCAAGAATGTCAAATAAAAAGTAAACTCTATTGCATCGAAAGCAAATCATTTGACTGGTTTACTACCAGCAGTAACAGTTTTATTTCCCCATTTTCTGCGTACGTTCTCAAGCTTCTGAATTTTTTGTACGCTTTTGGACGAACAGCTCATCCGTCTTTGTTGCTGGTCCATCTTTATATATTTCGATTTCGACATTAAACCACTCGGGCGTAAATGTATTTCGTTAATTAAGTCTATAATCCTTTCATTGGACTAATCATTAGTGTCTAAGTGACTATTGAGTACCTAATCATTAATAATCAGTGGTAAACTTTTTTGATGTCCCAAAATTCAGCTTGCTCGTATGATTTTTAGAGGTTCAGTGGCATTTTCGAATCTGACGACTGGAGTAAAGTATGTTTGTTTTTGTTTGTGTTTAAATGACTGCGGACACTAAATCCATTCGCCAATCTTACAATTTGAGGTGTAGTGTGTGTGTGTGTGTGTGTGTGTGTGTGTGTGTGTGTGTGTGTGTGTGTGTGTGTGGTGTGTGTAGAGTAATTGTCTTGATACTTAGCAAAGTCGACGTCATTGTCTTTGCTAAGAGACGCTAATTGTATCCGAACGTCTGCGGTCCCTCCGGTGTGTACCGATCACACAAGGATAGAAATTATTTTCATTTATTAATTTTTTTAATAAACGAAAATTTCCACCCAGGTGGGATTCGAACTCACGACCTTTAGGTTTAAAGGCAGGCGCTCTTACCACTGAGCCACAGAGGGGGTAGGAGTAAAGTAAATATTGCAAGAATTTTTGCTCGCCCAGCAATCGTCCGGCAACTATTTTAAAACAATAGGATAGGACATGTGTGGCTAAAAATGTGTGGTTATGACCAAAAATGTGTGGCTATTACTGGCAGTATGACCGAGAAATACTAAAACATTCACATACATTGACATAACATTGACATATGGACAGTAGTCTGATAGCATATCGACTATTGCGATATAGTCTTTGATATAAAGCAATATGTGGTTTATTTTCACATGTTTAGGTACATGATATTCCTTGTAAATGTATATTATTGTCAATCTACTTACTTAAACTAGGTATCGAAGTAGAACTGCTAGTTCTGCATTCCAGGACAATTATTTACAAAATGTGACAAATTAAAAAGGAAACACCATTCACAACAAAACGAATAACTTGTTACTTCTAAGAACTGGTGGAAAGTTATCAATAACGCGAATATTGCAGCTGACTAAAGATCACTGTTGTTTTTAATTTACTAATAGTTCGATAATATTTTTAAATTTAAAGAGTGTAATATTAACACACTTCTGCATTTTTTCCAACGTTTATTTACATATTTATCACCAAATATGTAATAACATTGTCTATTGCTCATGAATTACTGGACTTTTATGATTAATCTTATTTCTGCATTTTAAAAACATTTTTATAGCAGACCTTTTAAGCTGTTTACAAAACGGCATTTTAAATATAGAATTAAACTTTGATTCAATTACGTTAAGATTAATTTCAAAACAGTGACGTTATTATTTACAAGTTCAAATCAAAAGAAAAGGTTCCATTTCATTTTAATCTGTTTTTAATTATTGGAGCTAAACGTTATATTATCAATTATCCAGCATAAGTAACAGTTATTATCGTTGTCATAAATAATTATTGGTCAAAAAACCGTCATAAACAACTAAATAAATTAAAGGCTATATCCCTAAATTAGTTAAACAGAGGTTCAAACGACGTCTGGAAACTGTTTCACCAACTTTTCCAGCACTTGATCTCAAGGTTCTCATTTCTGATATTCTAAGTATTCCTTTTTGCTTCTGCTGTATTTGCGTTCATTTCTATCGCATATGTTTTTATTGGTCTCGCCAATATTCCAATTCCAATTATCACTGTATTATTAATGTGGTTCCACTAGCAATAATCTTTTAAAACGACTCTTTAATTTTTAAAATATCCCTTTCATACATCTCTTGAGCCATTTTTAAAATATACTCAGGAGATGCTTGAATGAACAATTTCTTATAAAATGTAAACTGCATTATAATTTAATATCACTTAATAGTTATTACTAAATAGTCATTATTCTAATTTATACCGAATCAAGAGTATTCAGCCACGGTAGTTACGTCCCTGGATTATCCAGTGTGTGATGACATATCTAGAGAGTCTATATATACCAGGGTTTAATTATTTGCAGAGCTTTTTAGTTTTGTAGTTGTTAACTTACTTAGATATTGTACGTTCTCAATAAATACATTTTGTTACGGAATTCATTTTTAAAAACCCGTTTTGACTTTTATTTTCGTAACTGGCGCAGTCATTAGGATTTTTCGAAATTGTACAGTGTTCGTGTTAACCTTGCCGAATTTCATGTACAATTTTTATTTTTAAAGTTTAACGGAAAAATACAAATTTCGGGTACGGTAACAGACAAGCGTCCAGAGCTAGGAGCAAAAATTGTCGATGGTTCATTGAAGAAGCTAAGACCAGGAAGAAGGAACCGGCATCGTCCATAATCCTATTGATGCAAACGGAAGAACAGGAATAGTCTGAAGTCTACAGATAATGAAAATATTCATGTAAGTGTCTTCTATTTTACGAAAATCCACGTTTTTACCTATATGTTGTATATTTTTTGATTCACTGTGGACATTTCAGAACATTTAGTAAATTTAACATTTAAACGAAATGGCTCAACATAATTTTCAATTAATTAAATATCAAACATATAATATTCTTAGTTTTGATGCTAATCCGAAATAATTAAATAGATTTATTAAATCATGCGAAAATTTTCTAAATAATCATAACATAGGATATGCTAATAATCCTATATATGTTTGTCTTTTTGTTACGGTTTCAAGTAAATTAACTGACATATCAGCAAACCTTATTGCATCAAGAACAGAACTTGGTTCTTGGGCAAAAGTTAAAGAGTCCCTTATAGTAACATTTTCTAATCAAAGATCCATTGATTATTTAATACAAGATTTAATTTCAATGAAACCAGAAAGAAATGAAAATACACAAAATTTAAGAATCCAAGATGCTAGAATCATTGTTTTTTTCAAAAATAAATATTTCCAATGACGAATTAAATATCAAATTATTAAAAATCCAACAAAGATCTTTGTCTTAAAACTTTTATAAATGGCCTTAATGATCATATGATGTTAGAAGTCAGATTAAAGAATTCTGATTCCATAGAGCAAACAATGGCTTTCGCTAAAGAAGAAGAACATTTTATTACTTACAAAAATCGAAGTAATAATACAAGACCCTCAAATTTTAATAATTCTGGATCCCATAATAATTCGCATAGAAATTCAAATAAATTCACAACTCTCTTCATTTCCAAATAGAAATAATTATTCTTGAATTCGTTTTTTTTTAATTATAATAATTTCCAAAATCGACATTCATCCTAAAGTTCTCGTCAATACAGAAATAATAATTTTTTCAGAAATCCCAATATGTAATAATTTTCAAAATTGTCCAAGTTTTTCAAACAATGGTTTTAATGATAAAAATCGTAACCAACTTCCAAGACAATTTTCAAATATATCTATGTAGATATTAGCCATCTATGCATACCCAAAGTCAAAGCAGAAATACAATGCGACCTGAGTCAATGGATACAAGTTCCAATAACTTTAGTTTACGAAGTAACTTTAACAATTTTAGACATTCTCCCAATAATTTATATTATTCTAAAACAACAAGTAATAATGCAAGAAAGTCTCTCTTCTCTCTACAAAATGATAATTTTATAAGATATAATGATAATGAAACTGTATTATAATCATAATGATAGAAGACATAATGATAATGGAAGAATGTATAATAATAATGATAGAATACATAAAGGGAATAAAAGAAGAACTGAAAAAAGATAAAATAAAAATAAAAGAACAATAGATACAAGATATAATGAAATAAAAATATATAATGATAACATTTTCAAGTTCACACCCAAGAAACTCAGATTTGATCATAGCAGCGACGAAGAATATCACGCCATAAGTAAATTATGTTATATGAATATAAAGATATTTTTATACGGATGGATTACCCCTCAGTTTCACGAATGAAATAAAGCTTAAAATAAATTTAGTTAACAATACCCCTTTTTATACAAAAAATTATAGATATCCGAAAGTTTATAAAAAATATGTTAGTAGACAATCACCCATCTGCATAATACAGAAGAAAATGGACGCAAGTAACCAAAAGAAATATAGAATATTTATATATTACCTCAAATTAAATGAGAACACAATAGAAAATAAATTTCCTTTGCCATAAATAGATAACATTCTAGATGGTCTGTGAAGACCACAATGTTTTATTACATTAGATTTAGCAAATGTTTTTTATCAGATAGAAATGGAAACAGCATTTTCCACAGAGACAGGACATTATGAATTTTTACGTATGCCGTTTGGATTAAGAAATGACCCAACTTATTTTCAAAAATGAAATTCATATTCATACTTATGAATAATATATTAAGATGAAATCAGAACGAGATCTACTTATCTATAATTTGTTTTCATCATTGCAAGAACTTGTTAAAATACTAAGAGGCAAAAGGCAATTTTTGAAAGACTAAGACAATCTAATTTAAAAATACAGCTAGATAAATCAGAATTTTTACGCACACGAGTGGCATATTTAAGTCACCTTATAACAAAAGACGGAGTACGACCAAATCCAAATAAGATAAATGCAGTCAAAAACTTTCCTATTTCTACTACACATAAATAAAGTCATTTTTAGGATTAGCAGAATATTATACGATTATATACGGTATATAACATTCATTCAAAATTTCGCCAAAATAGCGAAACCACTATGTGCCTAAAGAAACATGACAAAGTTATACACACTCCAAAATTAAAATCTTTTAATCATCGTAAGGAACTTTTAATTAATGCCCCTATTTTAAAATAAACAGATTTTTAGCTGCATTTAACCATTGATTGAATATTCGGATATTCAGTCAACGATTTAACCCAGGCATAGTTAATGAAAATATAAGAAATGAAACTTTGCAAATTTCTGATAACAATGAGGTTACAGAAAACCCACACGTAAATAAAATACTCTTGACATGAAATAAGAACAATGAAAACGTTGAGATGGATAACTCAGACACCGACACTACATAATCTTGAAATACAAAACTTATCGTTAAAAGAGCGTCTTTTGCAAATTATCTAAAACGCGAATGCGAGAATTTTTAAGCACATAAGATTAAGCACTATTTCAGCTGACGAAGAAAGTGTTCCAATTTACTTTGTAAGTACAAAGTACTTTATTTTATATTATTTGCGACCACTATTTCAGACTATATGGGGTAAATATTTTACAAAATTAAAATTAATTAATAATTAATTAATTAGTTAGTTAACAATGTATTACCAGAATAAAGAAATTAACTAATAAAATATAAGCATGACGGCAAAAATAATCATCGTGGAATTTCAACACTCTTAGAGTTTTAAAAATAAATTATTAATGGAAATCAATGAAAAAGGACATCGACAAGTATATAAACAAATGTGGAGTATGTGCCAGATATCCAAATATAATATAAATCCACATAAACAACGTTTAATATTAACCCACACACCCAATGAGCCATTTGAAATAATACATATAGACACTTAAAGTTGGCAATCGAAGATTTTTAACAATTATAGATAAATTTGCCAAATATATGGTCAAGCATTAATATATTGGGTTACAACGATATCAGGGTTTCAACAATTAGCAAATTTCTTTTCATTTTTCGGAATACCGAAGCAAATTAGTGCAGACAGTGGCGGAAAATTCAGAAATGATTTAGATGAATTAAATAAAAATACATTTTACTACTTCATATCATTACGAATCTAAATCCCCGGTAGAAAGATTCCAGCTCTTAACTGAGCACGTGGATTACTAAATGAAAAAGATAAAAATGCAGATAATATTTCCATTATGCCTTATGCTCTTGTTGCCTATAATAGTACTCTACACTCAGCAACTGACCATACACCTTTTAAATTAGTATCGGGACAAACAGACAGTAAAGATACCATGAGACCTATTCCACCATAAGCTTATACTTAATATGTTAATGCACATCAAAATAATACTCAAGCTCTTTACACAAGTATACAAGAAAAAAATCAAAAGCTTAGAAAAAATAATTGGAAAAGGATAAAGATAAGAACTTAAAAGGTCCTCGATTA